GCCTTGTGTAATTAATAGCTTTTAATAGAAGTAATTAATTTCTTGAAACATTTCACATAAATATCCTCATATCATGAGCTTCCTTTCTAGGTTCAATGCAAAGTTTATTTTCAAATTGACTATTTTTAATGTTATTAACATTTACAATTATTTATTTATTTATTTTTCCCTTTTCCTTTGTGTTAACTGTTGATTGAACCCAGGGCCTTCCACATGGTAGGCAACAGTATACCACTGAGCTATATCCTCAGCCCTACTTTTGGCTTGAAAATTTTATTTTATTTACTGATTTATTTATGTGCTTGTGGAGGAGAGAGGACAACCTTTGGGAGTTGGTTCTCCCACAGTGTGGGTCCAGGGATTGAGTGCAGGCGCTTAAGCTCTGAACCATTTTGCCAAGCCCTGTATTTGGCATTTTGAAGCAGAATTTTATTCTGTAGCCCAAGCTGTCCTTGAATTTAGGATAATCCTCTTGCTTTCAGCCTTGCAAGTGCTGAGATTATAGATGCCCGCTATCATGTCTGATCCCCTAAATTTAAAGGAATCTCTTGTGTTAAATAAGTGACTTGATTTTTTAATTTTTTAAAAAAATATATTCTTTTGGGACATGGTTTCACTATGTAGCCCTGTCTGGCTTAGAATTCCCTGCTTCTGCTTCCTCAGTGCTGGGACTAAAAGGTGTGTTCCCCCCATGCCCTGCAATCTGATTTTTTTTTTTTTTTTTTTTGGTCTCTTGAGACAGGGTCTCCCTGTAGCTCCAGCTGTCCTGGAACTCACTATGTAGACCAGGCTGGCCTTGAATTCATAAAGATCCTCCTGCCTCTGCCTCCCTTTTTTTTTTTTTTTTTTTTTTAATAAATCTTTTATATTTTTGGTTTCTTTTTATGTGTATGAGGGTTTTGGTGTTTTTTTGTTCTGTTTTGACAGGATCTGTCTTGTCCCAGCCTGCCTGAAAGTCACTATGTGGACCATGCTGGCCTTTATCTCACAAAGATCTGCCTGCCTCTGCCTCCCAAGAGCTGGGATTAAAGGAAGGCAACACCACACATACCCAGTATGTGTATGAGTGTTTGCCTGCCTGCATATATGTAAGTGCAGCTTGTGTGTGCAATGCCTGTGGAGGCCAGAAGAGGTCATTAGATCCCCTGGAATTGGAGTTGCGGGCAGTTGTGAGCTGCTGTGTGAGTGTTGGGAACTGGACTAGAGTCCTCTGCAAGAACAGTCAGTGCTCTTAATTTCTGTGCTATCATACCTCAAGCCCCTTTATAAGTTATCTTAAATTTAAAAAATTATTATTTTATGTGTATGAACATTTTTTCCTGCATGTAAATATACCACATGCATACAGTACCTGTGCAGGTCAGAAGAGGGCGTTGGATCCCCTGGAACTGAAGTTGTTAGCTGTGTATACAACTGAACACCAGTCCTCCCGAAGAGTAGCCATCTGTCTAGCACCTATGAGTTATATTAAAGTTTTCTTTAAGAAATGCTAATGAATTTATTATTTGTTTATTTGAGACCTCTTTGGCTGGAGAAGGATGACCATAATCTTCTAATCTTCATGCCTGTACCTCCCAAATGCTGGGATTTACCATATTGGGACATAATGCTTGCAAATAACTTTATTATTAACGTATCTTTATAAAATTTCTTAGTCTTCATTTAAAGTTTAAAAGTAGGGTAAATTATTTATAAACACATGCCAGATCAGTTATAGAAATTTACAAAGATTTGTCTCTTCTATCCTTTTATAGGTTAAATTAGTTTATTATTTATTTTTTATGATATTAGCTAGTCCTAAATCACTTGCATGGTTTAAGATTTGCCTTTGTTCACAAAAACCCTCTTTTAAGGCCAGATTAAATTTAAAAGCTTAAAGAATTTCAAATTATTGCTCTATTTTAGTATCTTATCAGTAAACTTGAAACTTCTTTGTTATAGTTCTTTATTATTATTACTAGAATGCCTCAATTTTTTTTTGGGGGGGGTGGTGGTTCTTCCTGTAGCCCCAGCTGGTCTGGAACTCACTGTGTAGACCAGGCTGGCCTTGAATTCACAGCAGCCTGCCTCTGCCTCCCAAGTGCTGGAATTAAAGGTGGCTGCTACCATGCCTGGCATGACTTAGAATTTAATTTGGTAAGATAAATAGGAAATTGCTTTTGCATTTGAAAATAGTACTAAGTCAGTTTGGTAGTTTTCTTTTTCTTTCTTTTTTTTTTTTTGAGATGATTATCACAGTATGACCTTGGCTTCACAGTGTGAACTTAGAGAGCGCCACCTGCCTCTGCCTCCCTACCCCAGTTCTCTCCATCATGTCAGGTTCCCAGGATTGAGCTCAAGTTTCAGACGTGGCAGCAGGCTTTTTTCCCTGCTGAACTTGATTTTTCTCATCCTCAGTTTTAAAGGATGGCAAAATATATTTCATACTTTGTCACCTTTGGGGAAAACAAAGTATGGAATATATAATAGATTTTACTGCTATCGTCAATTTTCTGTCATCTTGATCCCACTGTGTATAGCCCACACAATCCTCCTGGTTCAGGCTTCTGAGTTCAGTATGGGACATACTGCAATTTCAAACAGTATGTCTACCTATTTTTTTAAAATTTCAAATTCAGGGCCTCACACTTATTAAAGTGCTATACCACTGAGCTATAGCTCCAGCTCTCTCTGTACATATAATTGTGATTATTGTAATTGTACAGAATAAAGGAAAGTAAGTATTGAGATATGAGTATTAGAGCTACCCATATTTACTTTTGAGGTATTGAAGACAATAGTGAAAAATGCAGATAAATTAGGGGTGTGTGTGTATGTGTGTGTGTGTGTGTATGTATGTGATATCAACAACATATTTAAAAATTAGTGTTTTGACTAGAGGTGACTCAGCTTTTTAAAAATATATTTTATTATTTTTATTTTATGTGTATGAGTGTATTGCCTGCCATGTATGTGAGCGCACCCGTGTCGTGCAATGCTGCAGAGGTCAGAAGAGGGCTTCGGATTCCCCTGGAACTGGAGTAAAGGATGGTTCATAGCCACCATGTGGGTGCTGAGAATCGAACCCGGGTCCTCTGCAAGAGCAGCCACTGCTGTTAACCACTAAGCCATCTCTCTAGCCCCAACTCCACTTTTAAGATCATGCTTGAGTGTGTGTGTGATATCAGCTACCTATTTAAGAATTAGTGCTGGGACTGGAGAGAAAACTCAGCTTTTAAGATCATGGTTTTGCCCAAGATACACATTTGGTTCCCAGCACTCAAGGGGAGGTGGGGAGGGGAAACTGCAACTTCAGCCTATATAACTGGAGTTCCAGGGTATCTGACACCCTCTTCTGGACTCCATGGTGACCTACATTTAATGTGTACATATACACACACAGACACACATACGTACTTAATTAAAAAATAATAAAATAAAATTTTTTTGTTTTTAAATTTGGGACATGGTCTCACAGTGTAACCCCAGCTGGCCTGAACTTGCTATGTAGACCAGGCCAGACTTGAACTAACAGAGATTTACTTGCCTCTACCTTTCTGAGTTTTGGGATTAAGTGCCTGGCCCAAAAAAAAATCTTAAAAAAAAAAAAAAAAGTGTTAGTCTGACAGATCAGTACAATTAGTTGTAATTTAAATGATGTCTAATGTTTCCTAACACTTTATTTAGAAATATTAGTAAATATATATGATTGTATATTATATTGATTTTAGCATATTGGTAATGTACTGTGGTAATAGAAAAAAAGTAATCAAAGCTTCCTTGAGTAATCAAAGCTTTTCTTTAGAAGACTTGAAAGTATTAATTGGGGGCCTGGAGAGATGGCTGGGCAGTTAAGAAACTGGCTGCTCTTACAGAGGACCTGGGTTCACTTCCCAGCACCCACATAGCGCCTAACAATCACCTGTTAACTCCAGTGCCAGGGGATTTGATGCCCTCTTCTGACCTCTGTGAGCATTGCATGACTCAAGTGCATCTACCTACATTGCGGGTATTGCACTCATACACATAAAATAAAAATAATAAAGTATTTTTTTTTTTTTAAAAAGAAAGTACATTAATTGAAAGACCAGAACATGAACTCATTTTTTCCCTTCAGTCATGCTTTCTCATTTTCAGCTCTGGATGCCCAGTCAAATACTCATAGGAGGGAGCTCCTTTGGAGTTCTTAGGTCCTGAGACCAAGGCTTGTAATTTTAGTAACCTGTTCTAAAAATCAGCTCCTGTATTGCTTAATTTGATATCCTTTTATAGTTTTTCTATCTTTTGTTTGGACTTTATTGTTAATAAGCATGTATCTTTTGGTTTGATGGTGAATACTCCTTAAAAGAAATTGAAGTTGTGATATATAATCATAGGATTTAATAAAATATGTTCTGTCTTCTGCAGAAATGTGAATCCCAGATGGAGTAAAAGGCCTGTACAACATAGTCATTGGTGGAAGCATTTAGTAAGTATTATCAATCTACCTGTTTGGTTTGGCTTTTAATTTTAAGAATGATTGGACAATTTTAGTTACTGATTGGGAATTGTAAAAATATATGGGGATTTAGCAAAGATGAAAAAGTACAGTAGTATCTGCATAATGGTAACGTGTCAATTTATCATATTTTGCTTACAGTGTTTTCTCTTTATCTCAAAATTAAAATGCAAAGAAGTACACATTTGGACCTGTTTGAAATGCTGTGTTAGATTTAGGCGTGGAAGTGCCCCCTGCTTTTGGAAATAGGTTTTGGGGAACATGCCTGAACTTTCATTTAGATACATAGTGATTGCTTTTCCCTTTAAACTTAGAGTTGAGAGTAGTTGATGTTTACTGTCTGGTCCCCTAAGGAATACTGCCCTTAGTCCTAGAAACATGCTGTTAATATTTACCAGTGCAGAATCCAGAAGCCTTTGGGTTCTTTCTTAATATAAGAACTTGATTTCCTATGTTACAGTTGCTTCTGATAAATTAATTCTGAACTTAAACTTCAAAAAGATCTTTAGCCTGATTGTCTTAGACCATTGGTATTTGATGTAATATGTGGTAATACCACTATGATGAAATAGTTTCTTTAATTCTTAACCTGAGGTAGTGGGAAAAACCGGAAGGTCATATATAAATCAATTTGGGTGAATTGTGAAAAGACTTTACTTATCATAGACAGAACTTTTTTTTTTTTTTGAGGCCGGAGTCTTACTATAGTCCTTAGCTGGCCTAGAATTTGTAATGTAGACCAAGCTGGTCTGAATCTCCCAGAGAGCTGCCTGCCTCTGCCTCCTTGGCTTTATGGGCAGAACTCTTAAGGTAATTGCCCCACTACTTCTTTCACAGGAGTAGTTCTTTTTGAAGCATTTGGAAACCTAGATCCTAAATGTTGTTTAGCTACTTGAGATTACATTGGATAAATGGCTACTAAGAACCTACAAACCAAGTATTTTTTTTTCCCCTTGAGGGAGGAGAGTAGACCTAAAAGCTTTCCTAATATAGTAGAGTTAATAATTTCATGTGTGATCGTATTTAATATTAGTTCCCTGGCACTTGGTAGCTACTTAGGGCAGCTACTCAGTAAATATTTGTTGATTTATTGTGTAATTGTAGATTTATTGACCATATTATCAGCTAGTAGCTTTAGTCTAATAAAAGCAAAATGAAATTTATTATTAAAACATAAGTTTTATTAATGCTAAATACTACTTAGTGCCAGGCATGATGACACACGTCTTAAGACCCAGCACTGGGGAGGCAGATGCAGGTAGATCTCTGTGAGTTTGAAGCCAGCCTGGTCTATATAGTGAGTTCCAGGCTAGCTGGGGCTACAGGGAGACCCTGTCTCAAAAATACCAAAGAAAAAAGAAAAAAGAAAAGTTAAGTATTATTTTGTAGCTATGTTTAAAAACCTGAATTTTTACACAGACTTATAAACAACATATGAGTCCTCCTACCCCAAAATACTCAGTGTCTTTAACTTAATTTTGTACTTAAAGTTTTAAACAATGGGGACAGTTGGGAAGATTTGATTGTAAAGTCCATAGAAAAGTTGATTTTTTTTCTTGTTTATCCTAACTGACCCCTATCCTCTCTGAAGATTGACTGGTCTTTTGTTTTCTTTATTTTGATCTCTTCAAAGTAATTTTACAATTAGTCTTTATACCTGTCTTCATTACTACCTGGACTTGTTAATATGTATTCTATTGAGGTTTCATTTTTTTTTTAAATAAGACCAAATAAGTGAGTTTGCTTTTCACGGCCTCTTATTTTTAAAAAGTAAAAACAAAAATGGAAATCAAGTTGTAAGTACTAAGTATCTTAATTATGTGATAGGAAGAATGAGTTTTTGTATTAAATTAAAATTAAATGTCCATTTCTCCCTTTGATTATGAAATAAGCATTAAACTTTTAAATAACAAAATTTCATAATAGTGGCTTTATTTATAGCCATTCATTAAAAAAATTAAGAATCATTAATTTCTTTGTACTTCTTTGATTCCTATATTTTTCTTTGTTATTAAATATTGAAAGATGCTGGGCTTGGTATTCATGCCTTTAATCCCAGCATTCATGAGGCAGAGGCAGGTGCAACTCTGACAGTTTTTTCCAGGCCAGCTGGGGAGGGAGGATGGGGAGGGGAGAAACAGATGGGTGGGCATGCCTTTTTTTTTTTTTCCCTTTTTTAAAATATTTTTATTGTATGTGTATGAATGTGTTGTCTGTATGTATGTACGTGCACCTGTGTCAATGTAATGCCCATGGAGTTCAGATAAGGGTGTTGGATCCCCTGGAACTGGAGTTAAGGGACAGTTGTTAGCTGTCATTTGGGTGTTGGGAACTGGACCCTGATCTTCTGTAAGAGCAGTAAGTGCTTTTAACTGCTGAGCCATTTATTTCTCCAGCCCCTGGACATGCTATTTTATACTCGGCACTTGGGAAGTAGAGGCAGGTGGATATTTGAGTTTGAGGTCAGCTTGGTCTACATAGTGATACCCTGTCTCAGAAAAAAAAAAAATCAATGAAGATAAAACAGATGTAGCATTTCTGTAATCCTAGCTCTTGGATGTTCAGGGTCATCCCTTGGCTACATGCTGAGTTGGAGGCCAGCCTGGGTACATGAGACCTTGAGAAATACAAGTAAAAGGAGGTATAGATTCCATATCCAGATGTTGAATCAATTGCTTGCACTTTAGTTTATAATGTGTAATATATATATATATTTTTTGGTCTTTTTTGAGACAGGGTCTCCTTGTAGCCCCAGCTGTCCTGGAACTTACTGTGTAGACCAGGCTGGCCTCAAACTCACAAAGATCTGCCTGCCTCTGCCTCCCAAGTGCTGGGATTAAAGGTGTGCACCACCACACTTGGTGCATAATGTATAATATTCTTTTAGAACAAATTTTCTGAAATGGAATTTGAAGATTTCCACACTTTTTAAATTTCATGTTCTCAGTTTATAAAGTGTATAATAATTGGGTTTCAGGCAGTAACTTATTTATTAAACCTTTGCAGCATCAAAATAGATTTTCTCAGGGAATTGTTTTTAAAATAAACATACTTAAAGGAAGTATAAACTAGAAAAATACCAAAATGGAAAAATTCTAACCATATTAGAAGATTGAATCTTACATGTTAAACAACAAAGGATTAGGTTTGTCTGAGCATAGAATTCTATATCAAAACATGCCTGTTTAGTATGTTTGTAGTGATTCACAAGTTATTAGAGTAGGAAGTGGAGTTGAACATTAATATCTAAGTTCTACTGTGTTACTTTTCCAGTAGGATACTGATTAGGTAAAACTATACTCTTTAAATAGTTGACCCCCATGAGCCTATGTGTTCTTCAGAGATAGCCCTGGTGTTAGAATATGAACTGTTTCAGTTCTTCATGTGTTGTGATTATTGTTGGGTAGTGGAATGATAGCCAACATTTATTGAGATCTTTTCTATATGCCAGATAACGTGTTCTAAGTGTACTAACTCATACAATCTTCAGTAGTGCCACAAGAGGTATGTACTGTGATTGTTTCTATTTTGTAGTTGAGTAGCTCTGGATTTTGTTAGCCAGAAAATTTCCAGGTTCAAAGTGCTCAAGTGCACCCAAGTGTACAGTGCCCATGGTGCCCAGAGTGGGGGGCATCAGATTACCTAGACCTGGAGTTAAGGGTTCTTAGCTGCTGTGTGGGTGCTAGGAACCGATCCTGGGACTTCTGCAAGAACAGCTAGTGCTCCTAACCACTGAGCCATCTCTCCAGCCCTTGATTCCTTTTTTTTTTTTTTTGCTTATTTTCAAATTTAGATTTGGTAGTATTTGAAATTCCCAAGTGATTCACAGAACTTTTATTAATTAGCTTTGATATTTTACTGAATACTTTTGATTGTTAGCAGAATTCTTGGTTTTGGCTTTGGGTCATGTACTTTATAGGAGTCCATATTAGATTCTTTTTGTTTTCAGAGTTATGTGCTTTATCTTAAAACATTTAAAAAATTTACTTAGTTAATAGTTTTTACTTGGTTTGATAAATATGCTATTCTTTTCTCTACATTTACACAAACCAGTGCAGTTTCTGAATATTTTTTTGAATGACAATGTCATTGGAGTTTTGTTTCTTTACAGATTGTAACTCTTGCTGGTTTCAAACTGGTGGCCATCCTCCTGTCTCAGTCTCCCAATTATTGGGATTGCAGGCATGAGTCTCCACATCTAGTGTTTTGCTTTCTGTTATTTAAACATTTTTTTGATTTATTTTACGTGTATGAATGTTTTGCCTGCATGTATCTTAAGTGCACATGCGTGCAATGCCTTAGGAAGCCAGAAGAGGGCATCAGATTTGAATTGGAGTTCAGATCGTTGTTTGTTGCAATGTGGGTGCTGGGAACTGAACCTAGGCTTTCTGCAGGAGCATCTGGGTCCTCTTAAGTGCTGAACCATCTCTCCAGTCCCCAGGCACCCCCTTCCCCTTTATTTTTGAGAATGGGTTTCATGTAACTATGTAGCCAAGGATAATCTTGAATTTCTGGTCCTTTATTTCAAAGTGCTGAGATTACTCACATTTTATGCTACTATGCCTAGTTTTTTGTTGTGTTTGGAGCTTAAACCCACAGATTTGTGCATGCTAGCTAATAGGCACGCACCCTACCATCTGAGCTACTTGACTTTTTCTTTTTTTAATATTTTTTTTTAGAAGTAAATTTTACATTTCTTGTCCAGTGGTAGAAAGATAGCATTAAGTATTAATGTATCAAACTGAATAAATTGCACTGGTAGTTTCTGAAGTATCTATATAACTTGATACCAATAAATACTTACTGTCATTATTCATAAAAAATTGTTATCAGAAGCGTCACTTAGAGCCTGACCATGCATTAAACACCAGAGATAAAGGAGAATCTGCTTTATAATTAACTGAAATGACATATAGTTGTGATCATCCAACCCCCTCCTTTTTCTGTCCTTGAGACAGGGTCTCACTGTA